TAGGAACTTGATTGTCCTCCTCCATGTCAAGAACTATGAAATATGCGGGAAAAAGGAATTTATCAATTTTAACCAAAAGATCTTTGCATATACCTCGTGGGAATGTCACCGTCTTTTTGGCAAGATGAATAGCCATGCATATTGGTCTTGGCTCCGGAAGATTCATCTTCTTGTATAAAGAATAGGGCATTAAATTTACACTAGCTCCCGAAATCGGGTAAAGCATGACTTATTGCTAGGTTCCCGAATTGGCAAGAAAGTGTCAAACTTCCCGATTCCCTCATTTTCATTGGCAACTTGTTGAGCATAGTGGTTGAGCAATTTTCATTCAACACAACATTTGCAGCTTCTTCCATCTTCTTACAGTTTGTTAGAAGATCCTTCAAGAACTTGGCATACTTAGGTATTTGAGCAACGACTTCAATGAATGTAATATTAATTTGTAATGCATTGATGTGTTCCAAGAATTTCTTATAATCCTCTACTTGTTTATCTTGCTTAGCCCGACTTAGATATGGAAGAGGTGGCTGATATGGAGTCGTATTTTTCTTAACTCCAGGTTGCCACGTCGTGGCCTCGTCCTCGCCACGCCGTGGATGTTGTACAACTTGTACGTCTTGGCTCTTTTTTGCTTCCGGGATCTGCACATTCGATGAAGTATTATTTTCTAAATCAGTCAGGGGGTAACTATCTTCCCACATCTGGTTGTTACAGCCTTAATGTGGGCGTTTGGATTGACTTCCATGTTACTTGGAAGTGACCCCGAAAGTGGATCGTTAAATTGCCTCTAAAGTTGCCCAATTTTTTGTTCGATTTTCCGAATCGATGCTTGCTGATTTCGGAGTATAACATCAGTCTCATCATGCCTTTTCTCAGATGCGGCGACAAATCGAGCAAGCATTGCTTCAAATTCAGTTTTCTTTTCGGGAATCGATTCCTCATTTTGATAAAAACCACACATCTTTTGTTTATATTTTTCTTCCTTGGCTTTTTTGTATTCTTCATACGGCAACCATTCCTTCTTCGGCTTTCTCCAATCATCGTTGAATCGATCTCCACTTGAAAAAGACATGCTTGAGCTTTTCGGTTTCCGTTTTCATCGAAATCACAATCCTTGGTGAGATGCGGTCCGCTACAATTGTCACATCCCACTCTTATAACATGAATAGATTGATCCATTTTACACATCCTTCGGTTCATGCTCTCTAATTTCGCCAAAACTTCCGCCATGTCATCCGAAGCTGAATTCACTATTCCCCTTGTTACGTCTTGTCGAGGGTTATGATATTCTCGTGAATGCTTGGAGAATTCTTCAATTAGATCGTTGATTGCATCCATTGCTTTCTTTGTGACTGGTCCTTGAGAATCAAGGAGTTGCCTAGTTGTAACATTTACCTCATCGTAGAAGATTGCTACTTCTTATTGCAGTTTAGATCGTTATGAGGACAATTTCTTAGTAATCCCTTATAACGCTCCCATGCCTCGTACAAGGATTCTCCCAGATTTTGCTCGAAATTTGCAATAGCCTTCTTCAATTTTGAAACTTTCGATGGTGGACAAAATTGTTGGATAAAATCTTCACGTATTTTTGCCCAAGTTGTTATTACCCCAGATGGAAGTGCTCTTAGCCAATCTTTTGCCGCACCCTTAAAAGTAACAGGGAGCATTCGTAGTAACACTGTCTCGCGTGGTACGTTGGGAATATTGAAGTAGTTGGCGATATCATTGACTTCTTCAATGTGCTTGTAAGCGTCCTCGTGATCCTTCCCATAAAATGGTATTTCTTTCAATTGAGCGAGTATGTGTCCTTTCAGTTTGCGGGAATTGTGGGTTGCACAAGTCCTGGTCCGTTGTCATCACACATCCATCTTTTGTACTCCTCCATCGTCATGTCAACAATGTCCGCCATGTTGTCTTTGGGTTCACTTTCGGGTTCGCTACCTTTGTCTGATTCTGTTTCGGGCTCGTAACCTGCTTTCTTCTTGTTAGGAGTTTTCTCAAAACTTTCAAACTTGTTTTCGTTTACTGGCTTGTTACTTGATTCTCCAACGTGTTTGTTCTTCTCTTTATGAAATGATGACTTCAGATCGTCAAATTGTGGTGTCAGTGGTGTCTTTGATCCGCGAGTCATATACTACTGAAACCAAACAGAAAACAACACGTAAAACGAATAAAATTAAGTTAAAATAAAACTAGGCGCCCAGCAGCCATGACGTGGTTAGACAGGGCCACGACATGGACTTCTGAAACACCGAAAAAAATTGAATTTGAAACTATAGACAGAAAATTAACTTTGCATCAAAATAAATCTCACACAAATGATCGATAATTAAAAGCAAAATAATTTTAACTGATAATGAAACCGTTCCCCGACAACGGCGCCAAAAACTTGATACTATTTTATATGCTAGTTTTAATTACTAACTAAACTAGACCTAACTATACGAAACTAGGCAGTGTACCTAATCAATTATAGCAAAGTTCAGCAAGTCGGGTATTTATCCCAGGGAACAATTATTAAAAGCTGAATTATGTACTAAAAATTACTTAAATAACAAGTAATAAAAGTTCGGGTTTTTCTCTAGTTTTGCAAGACTAGAAACTTAAATCAATTTACTACGCAACACTTAAACAAACAGAAAAGCAATCAAAATTTGAATGGAAAGCAAGGATTGGAAGAGACTTCTGTTCAGATTTCGATTCAATAATACTCATATGGTTGATTTCTTGGATAATATTATGAATTGATTATTTGTTGTTTACCGATTCCTAAAGTAATTATAATTTATGATCAAAACACTAATCCTCCAATTATCGAGTTTATTTATTCATTGATCAGGTGCACAAACAAGCAAGACAATTAGGGTTAAGTTTGAGCTAAGCCAACCTTGATTAATAATTTACGTTAATGGATGATAACATCAATTTAACATATGAATGATCATCATATATTAGCTTCCACATTAAATTATCCACTTTTTCTATTTAATCCTAGGTTTATGATCAAAACTCTAGTCTTATAACCTTGATGATAACAAATTTATAAGATTCAAATATCCTAAAACAGATTGATCATCTAATCTCAGGAATATTCATCAATAAACATCAAAAGTGGTTGTCTTTAACACAAAAGGTTCTTTATCAAGCCATCAAAACAAATAAACAAGTAAATATTCAAATATCCAATCATTCAACACATAGTAGCATAGATCCTCTACATCTAAACAGAAGTTAGGGTTTTTAGCCCATAACTACTGGAATCAAACAAATAAATTCGAAGTTACCAATGAAAGACATGATGGAAATCAAGAAAAACTAAGACTTAGAAGTAAAATTGCCTCCGATCTCTCCAAAACGTGAACTCCAGACGAATTTAGGTGATTCTCTGCCTTCTAATGCTTCTTTGGGTGCCAAAAGTCATGAATTACTTGAAGCATAAGTTCTTTTTGAAGGCAGGACCGAACTTTATATATATACCAAAAAACTGTCTTCCACGTCGTGGCTAAAGGCCTCCACGGCGTGGCGTTCATGGAAAACGCGTAAAGTCCAAGTCTGCCAACTTGAACGCGAATCTTCGAGATACCACGACGTGGCCAGAGGTCCCCACGCCGTGGGCTTCAGAGTTTATGCCATATTTTGCCTTGCTTTGATCAGGTCCAGGTTTCCTTGCTTCCAACTCCGCATTTTGCTTCCTTTTTATCCCGAACATGTCTTTATTGTTACAAAACAGATTTATAATAAATTAAGTACCATTTGCACTAAAATAAATAAATGTAGCAAAAAGTATTAAAATAATGCATAAAATATATAACTAAATATGCACATATCATTCTTCAATCTTGTTCATCATCGTGTTAACAACGCCTATCACGCCTTGTAGCACCGTGCCAAAAGTTCTTGAAGATGAAGATAAATATGAAGACATTTTGAATATTGTAGAGAAGACATTGTTGGTATGATATAAGATTGTGTTTAGGCCAGTATTTATAGTGTTTTTAATTTTATTTTTTTAAATAACCATCAGATGACCAGTCAAAGAAGAAGTCAAGAAAGAGAACTCAAAAGTGTGGTACCCGGGTACCCTTCTTGACTCGCTAGCTGATGTAGGGGTGTAGTGTGCGCCGAACACACCTCAACAAATGTTGTAGCAACGCCGCCCCACACATTTAGCATTAGGAGTCAATGAACTTTTATTTTTGATTACATTAAAAAAATATTTATTAATTAGTCAATCAAGAAAGAGACTCAAAAGTGTGGTACCTAGGTATTCTTGCTGGCTCCGCATGTTGAGGTAAGGGCACAATATTCACCAAGCACACCTCGACAAATGTTGCGACAATGACGTCCGAGACCTTCTAACCTTAGAAACCAATAAACTTTTATTTTTTATTACATTAAAAAATACAATATTGCTCAATTTAAAGTATCAACTAATAAATATAACCTTAACAAAATTTGTAAATAAATCAATTTTTTTTTAAAGAAATTGCAATATAGTTTATAATATCTCCCACCCCTTTATTTTACTGGCTATAATTTTTTCAAATATATTTTATAGACAATTTTATTTATAAGAATACTATAAATTTTTTGTCCGATCAATGATTTATTAGACAATAACAATATATGTTCGAGACAAAGTTTTGATAGTTTTTTTTAATTATTACGTAACTTTAAGTCTTTAAAAGCTAGTGATTATTTTTTCAAACTATTTATACCATAAATAAAAACTATAATTTCTGGCTACCAAGATTTTAGATTCCAGCTTACTACATACACACATTTTGCTATAATTCAGATCTCATGATCTCATTGCCACGATTACTATTTTTTTTAAAATATATTACAATAAGAAAAATAATATAAAAATTAATAGAATGATGATTAAAAAAACCATTTTATAATATAAAAATAAAAAAATAAAAATTAAATTACATTTGCATTTTGATGTTAGTACTTAAGGCATTCCTAAAAGATTGGCTCTAAATTTTCCCGGGGGAGCATTGAGTACTACTGGATAGTACTGTATACGGTAGACACAGCCAATTCTTTCCCCCTTTTAGCTTTCTTTTATTACTCCAAAAGCTTCTTCTTCCCATGTAAAGATTGGAAAAAGGTGCGGTTTCATTTGCCAGCCATTCATGGAAGCTCATCGCTTCCAACGCAACCACAAACTCCACACTTGAAAGCCCACAATCTTCTACACTCTCAATCCATCACATTCACCTTTCCCTTCGTCTTTCATCTTATTCTTCTTCCTCAGATCTAGTTCAATTGTAAATACGATTCATTGAAAGAAGCGAAGGAGATTGCATTTATGTGATTACTGATTTGATTGTACTAGCTTCAAGTTGAATTCTACAATGGCGTCGACGCAAGGTATATTGCAACCGAGGAAATCGACTTCGAAATATGCGAATTCGCCATCCTCTTCGACTACTTCATCTTCGAAACATTTTCCGGAGGCTTCTGTTGATAATCTGAGCTCTCCGGCTTCATCTTCTAGAAGCAAGCCGCAGTACTTTTATTCCGAGAGTTTGCCATTGGGTTCTGAGAGATCGAAGGAGAATGTCACTGTTACTGTTCGGTTCCGGCCTCTCAGGTGATCAAATCGTGGTACAAATTATGGTTTACTGTATTTATTGCGGTTAATTTGGATGTAAAATAACTTTTTGAGGATTAGTCCGAGGGAAATTCGACGAGGGGAGGAGATTGCGTGGTATGCGGATGGAGAAACTATTCTACGGAATGAAGAGACACCATCGATAGCTTATGCATATGGTATGTCCAGATTATAGATATGCTACCAATTAATGTTTTTGAATTGATTCTATTGATGATCAAGAGTCATGTTCTAAATCAGAGCTTAAGAAAATTAGGTAAAACAGAACCAACTCTACAGTAATTAACATTTTAGACCTTTGGATCCTTTATTGCCAAAGCCCTAGTGTTCTTTGATATCATTGTATAGGGGACTGGAGCAACTAGTTAAACAATTACTCACTGATAAACTGATTTATTGGCTTTCCTTGTTTCAAACACAATGTTTGTTAAATTCTATTATTGAAGGGGACAGATATCCCAAATTTTCAATTGTCTTCTTTTTGTACCCAAACACATATCAGAATCAAGCAGCCATCTTAATGGTTTTCACATGATTAACTACAGTTAACTTAACAAGGTCAAGAATTTGTAACTTTAGGCTTATACTCTTAACCATGAAGTTTCTGCTTTTGAGGTTCATATTGATATACCTTGTAAACCTCATTTTCTTGTACATAGATCGGGTCTTTGGTCCTACAACCACAACACGTCATGTATATGATATTGCAGCTCAACATGTTGTTAGTGGTGCAATGGAAGGCGTTAATGGTATTATTTCTCTTCCTTTCATGTAACTTACACAATTTTTGTATCTTTTTGATTTTTCTAATCTTAACATGATCTGTTCCAATTACAGGAACTATTTTTGCCTATGGTGTTACAAGTAGTGGAAAGACTCACACCATGCATGTAACTCTATCACCTTTTTATTCATTATATTGCTCAAATATTTTTCTGTTTTATGCAGTTTTTAGTAATGTATTTATTTTGTGTATCTTGATCTTGATCATACACACAAGACAGGGTGATCAAAGGTCCCCAGGAATTATTCCCTTAGCTATAAAGGATGCTTTTAGTTACATTCAAGAGGTAAACATTTTTATTAAAACTTTTAATACAATCCAATAAATAAATATTTTTTTCAAGGAAAAGATAAAATAATCTTTATATTTTTCAGACCCCAGATCGTGAATTTCTTCTCCGTGTCTCATATTTGGAAATTTACAATGAGGTGAGAATTCTCTTCACTCTGCATAACAAAAAAAAATCTGATCTGCCATTTTTGCCCCTTCAAGTTCTACAATAGCAAGTAGTCTTATTTCTTAAAACGGGTATATATATTGTACACACACACACAATTATTGACATTGTTCCTTTATTTTCTTTTTACTGTTTTGGGTAATATTCTTGTTTTAAATTATGTGTTTTCTTCAGGTTGTCAATGATTTATTAAATCCAGCAGGACAAAATTTAAGAATACGAGAGGATAATCAGGTAATTAATGTTCTATATAATTCAACTTCTAGAAAATGTTTTAATAATTATAAAATAAAATAATTTGTGGAACACAATAATTGCTTTCAGGGAGCATTTGTTGAAGGAATAAAGGAGGAAGTTGTTCTATCACCTGCCCATGCCCTTTCTCTTATTGCAGCTGGAGAAGGTACAATCTTTCTTAAAAGACTATTTTGCCCATAAATCACTTTCATTATCTTGGAACTAATTATTATTATTATTATTTTTTTCACTTTATTGTTACAGAACACAGACATGTAGGTTCAACAAATTTTAATTTACTCAGCAGCAGAAGCCACACAATATTTACTCTGGTAAACCCATCTTTCTATTCCAAAATTAAATTAATTATTTTAATTTTTACATTTGTTTCATCTAAATACATTTTTCATCTTTTTTAACTCTTAACAGACAATAGAGAGTAGTCCTTGTGGTGATAATAATACTGAAGGAGAATCTGTTAACTTTTCACAGCTGGTAAAATTGTCTTCATAATCATACCACTCAGTTTATTCATTTATTAATGTAAAAAAATTGTTAAAATTAAAATTATTTAAATTTAAATTGCAGAATCTCATAGATTTAGCAGGTTCTGAGAGCTCAAAAGCTGAAACAACTGGTGTTTGTAGAAAAGAAGGATCTTACATTAATAAAAGCCTTCTAACTCTTGGAACTGTGAGGCCTTAATAATTAATTTATCACAATTTTATATTATTCTTTTGCTATATTTATATCTTTATGTTTAATTAATCTTTGAACTATTATTTACAGGTTATATCAAAGTTAACAGATGGGAGAGGTTCTCATATACCATATAGGGACTCAAAATTAACTCGCCTTCTTCAATCTTCATTAAGTGGTCATGGAAGAGTTTCTGTAAGTCTTACATTAATAAATAAAAAAAAGATATATTTTTTTAATGAATTGTAAATTTTGGTCCTTTTTCTTTCAGCTAATTTGCACTGTTACCCCCTCATCAAGCAATTCAGAAGAGACACATAACACATTGAAATTTGCACATCGTGCAAAACATATTGAGATTCAAGCTGCTCAAAACAAGGTATGGATGTTTAGGTTAGTTTTTGGTAATGATGGAATTAAGGAAGGAATGGAATCGTTCATTCCGTGTTTGTTTTGCCCAATGGAATGGAATATGATTCCTTTCATTATGTTATTATAAGGGGTGGTTTTTCTTGTTCATCATGAAATGGAATGAAGAATTGCAATATAAAACATTTTTATATATGTGAATTTTGATGACAATTTTCTTTTGAAGTAATCTTCACTTCCCTTGATTAAATTACAACTTTATTTTTCTATGATAACGAAAAAAAATATTATTTTTACTATAGTTTATTTGAGGTTTAAATGAGCTTATATTATCTTTAACTTTTTATTTTTGTAAATAAAAGTTTTTTTAAGATCTATTGTTTTAATTGAATTACAGTTTTTTACCTCTTAAAATAACAAAAAAATTATTATTTTTATTATAATTTATTTGGGGTTTAATGAGCTTTTATTATGTTCAATTTTTTATCTTTGCAAATTAAATTTTTTTGAAGATCTATTATTTTAATTGATTACAGTTTTTTTACCTCTTAAAATAATGAAAAAATTATTTTTTTTTATTATAATTTATTTGGGGTTTAATGAGCTTTTATTATGTTCAATTTTTTATTTCTGTAAATTAAAGTTTATTAATTTTAATTAAAATAATGTACAGAATAGAGTTAAAATTATACATTGTATTTACATACACCATAAAAAAAATTCATTCATTCCTACAAGTCAAACAAATATGATCATGGAATGTAATGACCGATTCCATTCCCTTGCTTATTCCATTCCATCCAACCAAAACAGATTCTAAAATAATCATTTAAATCTACAGATAGTTGATGAAAAATCCCTTATAAAGAAATACCAAAACGAAATTCGATCATTAAAAGAAGCACTAGAACAATTAAAGACAGGTGTTGTAACATTTCCTCAATTAAAACACCCCGGACCCATAGCAGATGATATTCTTATCCTTAAACAAAAGGTAACACTCAATAATTACATTATTGCCATTTACTCGTTTACATTTATTTTTTCTTATACATTCATATAACTATTTTGTATTAACGTAACTAATATATATATAAAAGCTAAAAGATGGTGAAGTCAAACACAAGTCGAAATTGGATCAAGAAGAAGAAGAAGAAGAAGCTAAAGCAGTTTTATTAAGCAGAATACAAAGATTAACAAAATTAATTCTAGTCTCCACCAAATCTTCACACCCATCTAAATTTTCTCATCTAAGGAGAGGATATTCCTTTGGGGAGGAAGAGGTTAGTCTTTTGACTTTTCTTCCTCTTTCTGTTTCTGTTTCTTTTTAAGGTTAAAATCATAAATGCAAGAAATAGCATATTACTTTCATTCATGTGTACTAATAATGAAAAGAGTTGAAAGTAGAAGTGGGAAGAAATAGAATTTGTAAAATGATGTTTCTTGGAATTTGGCAGCTTGCATATTTACCACAAAGAAGGCGTGACTTAAGTTTAGATGAAGAAAATATGGAGTTATATGTTTCACTTGACACAAGTGAGGAAATTAACAATGATGTGCTTAAGGAGGACAAAAAGGTCAAAAAAACCGGATTGCTTAAATGGTTAAAACTTCGGGTGAGTCTCCTATAAGTTTCTCATATTATATGCCAATTTATCTATTTAATTCATAAAGGGTCGAAATAGCCCATTAAAATCAATTTTTGGTTTCATTTGCCCATTGTCGCAAATTTTGTAACAATTTAAAATTTTGGACTTAATTTATAATTTTGGATGACTGTTTGTTTCGATTTTAAATTTATATATTTTTTAAATAAGTAATTTATTTTATTAAAAAGGAAAATGAATATCTTCTATAGAAAAAATTCCTTTAAAAACATTTATCAAGACCATCAAAAAGACATAAATGTCAAATGGTATAGAACATAGTAACGATGTAATTTATTTTGGAGAAATTAAATATTTTCCTACATATCCTACTACCAATCTTAAATAATGATATCTGTCATATTCGATGAAAATAGTAATATAGATACATGTCACCATTTAAGATGTGTAGGAGGATATGTAGAAAGAAATGTAGAAGGATATTTAATTTCTCTTTTATTTTGAGTCATTTATTTTTGTAACAACCTATCTGATTAAAAATGGACACAAATATCAAATGAATTACATGAGTAGATTCTATATATAATATATCAAGTACATGAAGATAATATCGGGATCTTAACAAAAACTTATCATTATGAATAAAGAAACTTAATAAAAATAACCAAGTTTTTTGTGTTTTGGGAAAATAACATCTTTGTCATAAATAGGCCTATTCCATATTTTGATCAAAATGTATAATGTGATTTTTTTCAGAATGTATAATGTGATTTTTTTTCTCATTTTCACCAAAATCTATAGAGTAAATTACACGAATGGTCCCTATGGTTTGGGGTAATTTGCGTGCTTGGTCCCTAACTTATTTTTTTAACTTGGAAGGTTCGTACTGTTTGTTTTTGTTACGCGCTTGATCCATAATGTTTGTTTTTGTTATACACTTGGTCCCTGTCTTACCTAAAAAGATTAATATTTTAATAGGGAAAAATGGTGGGATATGTAAGATAAGGTGAGGTGGGTGTGGTTGGGGGTGTGTTTAATTAAAGAAATTAAAAAATCAAGGGCAAAATAGTCTTTTTAGATAAGACAGAGACCAAACACGTAACAAAAACAAATAGTAGGGACCTTCCAAGTTAAAAAAATAAGTTAGGGACCAACCGTGCAAATTACCCTAAACCATAGGGACCATTAGTGTAATTTACTCAAATCTATATAAAATTGACATTTGGAATTGTAATCATTGTTTTTTAATAAAATGTCTTGGTTTAAACACTTATATCTTATTTACTTTGCATTGTTGTTTTTTTCTTAAACTTTATGTTTTATTTTAGTAAAAACGAAACATTTTTTCGAAATCCCATAATTATTCATTGGATTTAGGACTTTTCTTGAACTTTTCGATTTTTTTTCAAAACCTAAAGCATAGTTTGGAATCCTGAATGTATTTTTTTGTAAGAAAAGAAAAAACTAAAAAGAAACTCTATTTTACTGTATAGACACCCTAATTAAATTTTTAAATATTTTTATTAGTTGAAATTGCAATGTTTTGCGAAAAAGCTGATTATATGCAGGAAATATCCCATAACTATTACTTATTAAAAAAAAAATTCGAAGAGACATAATTGTTGATTGGTTTCATCACCAGAAACGAGATGGTAGCTATGGCGCTTTAACGATCACAAGCGATAGATCAAGTGGAGCCAAATCGATTAATAGTCCAGTTTCCACTCCTAAAACGTCTAATCATAATCATCCTATCGAACAATCCAGACATTCACATTCACAATCTGTCGACTTCTTATTCGACCCCAAACAAGATAATCAACAGCAAATCATCGAAGACGACAATTCATCGCAACACGACACTGCTGTAGTATCAATATCATCCCCTTCGATTACCAGATTGAACGACGAAATCAAACTCAAAAACGAACAAATCTCCCTCTTGGAAGCCGAAGTTGCAAATAATCAACTACTTCAACAACAGTTAAACCAAAAGGTACACAATTTTACATCATTCTAACAACTTCAAACATCAAACTAAATACTATTTTGCGCTAAAACCAGGTGCTTGAGATCGAACAACTTCAACAGAAAGTCACCGAACTCACCGAGTCAAAAACCGAGTTAGAATCCCGGAACAAAAAGCTAGCGGATGACAGTAAATACGCTAAAGGATTAGCCTCCGCGGCCGCCGTCGAGCTCACGGCTCTGTCGGATGAGGTCGCGAAACTGATGAATCAAAACGAGAGACTAATGGCGGAGTTAGCCGCCACAGCCACCGCCACCACGCCGAAGAACTCTCCGGCTAACCGGAAAACGACCGGTCCGGCTAAAAACGGGCGGAGAGAGAACGTTAACACGCGGACGAAAGAACAGGTGGAGATGAAAAGAGAACTTGCGTTGAGTAGGGAAAGAGAAATGTCGTATGGGACGTTGTTGTCGCAAAAGGATGAGAGAGAAGCGGAGCTACGGCGGAGACTGGAGGAGTCGAAGCAGAGAGAAGCGTATCTTGAAAACGAGCTTGCGAATATGTGGGTTATGGTGGCCAAATTGAAGCGGCTGCAAGGAGCGGAGACTGAGCCGTCGGAGTCGAGTAAAGATTTGGATTAGAAATTTAGGGTTTGTAAGATTGTGTGTACTGTTGTTATTGTGAGGTAATTTGTGAACTGCTTCTTTTAGAAGGTTCACTCTTTTGTGTAAATTATGTTGTTTGCTGAGTAATTGAAAAAAGTTAAAGTACTCGATGGAAATCTGGAATAATTGATCAATTTTAGTCATTGATTTTTATTTTGTCCAATTTAGTTATCGAAGTATTTACAAATTATCTCTCTATTAAGTCGTTAATATTTATTTTTTTAACATATTCTTTATTTTAAATTATACGAATAGTCCTTATAGTTTCAAGTTCTCTCGTGGACCGGATAGTCATGGCTCCTCTCAAGGATGAGTTTCGTGGTGTGCAAGTTAAGCTATCAATTGCGCGCTATAGCGACGTTATGGCGTTTCGCGGTACAAGAACCGTTATTTTCAGTTTAGCATTTTCGATTCGCGGTACCGCTATTTGCGGCACTATTCATCGCTATTTACCGCAATAACCATAACCGCTATAGAGGCGCTACAAGCGTTTTTCCATTTTCGTTCACATTTTGGGCGTTTCTTTTTGGTCTCCTATGGAGCCAAGGTTCCAACACGCTTTGTGGTTTTAATGATCTCTTTACACTTTCATTTTAAAAAACCCAAACAACTAACATAATTAAAAACATTTAAAACAATTACATTTACCGACAACTCTCTTTCTCATATTTTTTTGTACTTATGGCGACTTGTGCTACTATGGTCGGATTCCATTAATGTTTTTTGTAAATCAACCCACACCTATAAGGCTATGACTTGGGACTTAACTACTTAATCAATCACAGCCTACTAATACGATATCGAACCCCTGCAATGCGGTTAAACTTTATTTGACACTACCTAGTTTCCATATTACTATAATAGAATATTATGTTAAGTTTTTTATATGACTTTTTAGGTATGATGATATGAATTCTATATAGAATTATAGTATTAATACTCAAATATATAAATTCTATATAAATATAATATAAAATTATAAAATATACGTAATATTAAAAAACCGTTATATCATCGCGATAACCGCGATCTCAAATAGCAGCATGTGACCGCTATTGAAATTTTGACTGCGATAACTGCATAGTGTGCAAGCATGCATGGATATGCTCATTGTGAAGATCGGTTCTGATGATTTAAATTACCTCAAAGGCCCTGGACGAGCGAGGAAAAAAAAAGAATTGTTATTACTATATATATACTAGGCGAATACTCGCGCGTTGCGCAAAATACAACAATATATTTGAAATCTTTACAAATATATATTTTTTTAAATATATCAGTGGCGCTGTTGTTAGCTCTTATATAATAAATCTTCTAATAAGTTGGTATAAACATTGTCTATTTTGAATTATAAGATAATGTAGATATCTTTTAAAATTCTATAATTTCAACTGTTTCAATGACCTCTACTTACATGATACTCATAAATAAAATTAAATATAAATATATTTTAATAATATTTATAGTTGTTGTTATGATTAATAAATTTAAAAGTTTATTTGCTTAAGATTTTAATTTATATCATTGTAATTATTTAAAACATCATACATTTTTTTTGTTTTTAATGGTAGCAATATAATTATTGTATATAATGTTACTTTTAACTATTGTAGTTTTAAGTTATTTAAAATAATGTATTTGGAAAATCGTAATTATTTTAATTTGGTTTTAGAAATTTAACGTTTTTAAAATTTATTTGATGAATATTGTTAGTTTCTTTTATTGTAATTATTTAAAACAACAAACATTGTTTTTGTTTTTAAAGATAAATATTATAATTTTTTATATAATATAACTTTTAACTATTCTTATTGTAAATTATTTTTAAGCTACATATTTCAAAATTCTTAATGATTACAAAAAATAGATTCATGGTTTTTGTTGTTAATTTTGGACTACAATTTAAGTTTAACACTATAATTTATAACTTATAGCTATTTATAAAATAGTCCATCGAGGTTTTTCAAGTTTAACTGAAATTTTGATTTAAGTTAATCATATAACATTATTTTGAAATTAATAATTTAATTATATTGCATAAAATCATAAATTACACATAAGTTATGACTTTAAAATGACAATTATTCACATATGACAACATATTTAAACTAATAAGTTAATTATAATATGGTAAAAAGTTAAAGTCGTAATTTTATAAATAGAAGTAAAATATAATATTTTAATATTGTAGTTTAGTTAATTTATAATTAAAATTTTGTTTTTACATTAATTTGACATTATTAACTAATTTATAATAATTATTAGAAAAAAATTGAAAAGTCTTGCAGGTTTCAAATGCGTGAGGTGCAAGTAAAAATGCTTCTTTTATAAGTGTGTGTGTGTGTGTGTGTATATATATATATATATATATATATATATATATATATATATATATATATATATATATAATTGGCCCAAAAAAAAATTAGGCCCTATGCAGCTGCCTACTTTACCCCTCTCTCTGTGTCCCACCTTTTTTTGTAACTTTTTTTTTTATAAATTTCATGGCAATTTCCGATGTAGGCATTAGCTCGTGAGGATGATTCTTTCTCTACGGAGAGCTTCTTCGCCATGGTGTCACAATGGGAGCTTGATGTCAGGAATTCGTTTGTTCACCACCGGAAAAATCCCACTTCGGTAACTTAAACGATTATGATCGCATCTTCACAAACCTCTACGGTGTACACGACCCTTATCTCCAATCAGCTAGAAACAAATGGTGATTGGCATAGAACTAAAGATCTTATACACAAAGGCACTGATTGGATCATTGAAGAAATCAAGAAATCCAGTTTACGTAGTCGCGGTCGTGCTAGTTTTCCGGCGAGGTTTAAATGGTCGTTTCTGCCAAAAGCCTCTGATGGCCGACCATCCTATCTTGTAATCAATGCATACGAAAGTGAACCCGAAACTTGCAAAGATCACGAAATCATGCGACATGATCCTCATAAACTACTAGAAGGTCGCTTAACCGTCGGTGTACGGATGAGAGCATGCACCCTTATATTTACATCCCGGGAGAATATGTTAACTAACGAAAACACAAGAATCGAAGCTTAATCCGATAGATTATTAGGAAAAAATGCTTGTTGTTCAGGATATGATTTCGACGTTTATATACATTTCGGTGCCAGAGCTTACATCTGCAGTGAAGAAACTACACTTCTCGAAAATCTCAAAGGGAAGTAGAGGAAAATGTCACTGTAACATCCCAAAGTCTCAGGATAAAATTTTCATTTTAAAATAATAAAATTACATTCAAGTCAAACCATTTGTTCATAAACCATCATTCAGGAATCAGAGTTAGAGAAGACAATGTGGAAACTCAAATCATAAATTTGCTAATGTGTATGTACAGTTCGACCTTACCAATTTGATAAGTACCTGCAAAAATATTTAATCTACAACTATAAGTACAAAGCTTAGTGAGTTCCCCAAAACATCTCATACAACACATCATAATAATTAGCTATGGTGTAACAACCCGTTATTTCTAGCCTATGAGAGTCAACAAAAGTTAAGTAAGGTCAATCAAGGTCGGAATATTAGAAACCATTTGATTTAATCATAATTATAATTATGATATTTATGTGTATTTGTTAAGGAAATCAAATAGCCCATACCGAAAATACCCTTCTTTGGATCCGAGAAATCTCGCAGGTCACTAGCCTCGGACCAAAAACGAGATTTCGGTCAAAGCAGCAGACCTTTGCAAATTCTATCTCTTCTCGGACCGAAAACGAGTTCTCGGCCGCTAACATCCTTCGGACCGCAAACGTGTGAGGCCGCAATCCTCTTAGACCGCAAACAACTTGGATCGAATACTCTCTTCTCGGGTAGAGTTCTCGGCCGAAATCAGCTACTTTATGACCGAAATCTTCTTTCCTCGGGATGAGTTCTAAGCCGAAAACCCTTAATATCTATATATTATTCTTATGACCGCCTCAAATTACTTCACATATAAGTCTCATTTCGAAAATATTCTTCCACTTTTTCACCTCCAAGTAAAACGAGATTACACCCATTCTCTCTCAAATTCCTTTCATTTCCAAGAGCTAAAACAACTTCAAGAAGCATTTTTGCTTCCATTGTTCTTACAAGTTTTGGTAAGTGTTTATATTAATTAGTGTTAATATAACACTTTACTAATTATTTCACTAATTTTAATACATATCGTGTGTTAATATAAATTAGGATAGGGTTGAATCATACGTATTCTAACCCGGGAAATCATCGGGACCAAGTTGTACCCAACTAAAAACACGCACACAAGGTGAGTTCATACCCTTATGTTTTCACAAATTTTAATTGTTTTAGGGGGGGGGGGGGGGATACAAGTAAAACACAAGAAATCTTGTGTTTAAAAATATAAATTGTTTATTATATTTTCTTACCGTAATATACAGTTAAACATGAAATTTACTAAATATGCAAAATATCGTTACTATTGAATTTACAAATGATTTACAAAATATGTTAAGACGCAACGGTTTCACAGCAACACGGAAACAAACTTATAAACTATAATATATATGATTTATGGAACAAAGATACTATTTTACAAAGTTCAGGTTACAACACGGAAACAAACATATAAACTATAATAGGTATAGTTTATGGAACAAATGATCTATTTCACAAAGTAGATGTTAACATATAAACAAAAAGGGTTTTCAGTTATTACTCGTAAAAACGTTGAAACAATTTGTGAGATGTCTTCGTGTACTTATCTAAGTACTGGTAAAAGTCCTGACTTATAACCAGAGTCTCTTGTAGGTTGAGCGAGATATTTGTGTATAGATCTATTTGGGACTGACTGTAACATCCCAAAACTCAAAACCAAAAATTTTGTTTTAGTTTAACAATTCATAAACCAACAGTATAAAAACAACCATAATAATATCTCATGTCAAAACCAAAGTGTCAGTAATCAAAACATATTATCATAAAACCATATCAAAGTATAATACCAAAGATCTCATGTGCGGAAAACATAGTGTGATGCGTTGCGATCGAGCCGACTCATTTCCTTTGAAAACGAAGTACCTGAAACCAAAACTGAAAACCGTAAGCACGAAGCTTAGTGAGTTCCCCCATCATACCACATACCATACAAATAACATATTGTCAGGCATATCTGGGT